ATATTGCACCGAAAACTTAACTCAAATTTATCATTACAACGTGTTAACATATTTTTACGGCCAACCGTATTGAAGTATAGTGTCAGCTCTGTGTATTTTTCGTGTACTTTGTGTATTTTGTTGAGAAATAAAGATTAGAACTTTAAGATTAAGATCTCCTGATGATGGATCCATGTCGTGGGCTCGTAGCAGCAAATCCACTTTCTGAAGGAATCTTACAACTCTTGGTTCTGGTCATAGATCCTATTTCTCAGCTGGTCCCTCGCTCCCGCCCATCGAAGCAAAGAAAGAGAATATTCTCCATATCGCGGCTTTGCATATGGGTACAAAGTACTTATTGTTCGAGCCCACTGTGGCTCTCCCTTGTTCCACGCCTCAACCGTTAACAAACCATTTAATTCCCACTGTAAACCCTTATTCATAAAGTACCAACTTTTAACTCTTCCGTCTATTTTTATTCTAGACAGCCTAAAATTTGCCATTGACACCGGTCTGATTCGTAAGGACATGATAAAGAACAGGAGAAACCCTTTTATTAATTATGAAATTGTTCGCCTGAAGGTTGCTGAACAGTCTGTGTCTCATACTGCCATCAGACTGTTCAACAACCTTCCCTTGAACCTGAGAAAAGCTCTTCAGAAATGGGAAGTAAGAGAGTTTATGGCTGGTCTAAAAACCTTACTAGTTGGCAAGGCTTTTTACTCCTTAAATGATTTTTTTAAATAGTATTTAACTGTAATTTTCTATACCTTTTATTTTATTTTGTAAAATTTTGTAATATTCTTAATGCTTCGCTGTGTTCTTACGTACCTATATTATATTAATGTGTAATATTTGGGGGGGGGGGGGTTGACAAGTATTATAGCCACAACATGTGGCATTTATGTACATGAATTGGACGGAGTTAAACAGAAAGGAACCAAGCCACATCGGGATCGAACCGAGAAAAAGAGGTTTAAAGTTTAGCTCCTGCATAAGGCTCAATGTAAAAGGTAAACTTTAAGTTCAATTTCTGTAAAATTTGCTCCAACAAAAACTTTGAATTTTTGGCGATAGATAGTAGAGCAGTGGTTGAGTTCAAAACCACTCATAACTCAATTTTTTTAAAAATGTGGGTTGGTTCCTTTCTGCCTAACTCAGTCCAATTATAAATAAAAATAAAAAAAAACCGCGGGCTTTCTCCGCCCCCGCGCAGGGAACCGACTGTGCGCCGACGAGAGGGATCCCTCCCGCTTTTCATCCCTGCACTCAAAAAAAGCTCCGGCCGTGGAGGCCATAAGCAGCGGACCTGGAGCACGGACTGGATGGGCTATATGGCACTACCGTTCGCCTACGCGCCTGACGGCCGGATTGCTACGTGCGGGGACGATGCGGAGTCCTACGGACATGAAAACCGTAAGTCGCGGCCTCGAGCGGCATAGGCAGCTTGCGCTCTAGGCGCTACTTACGGGCTGGACGGCCGGAGCTCTGCGCGCCGCCGCTGTCCGCGACGTGGTGGATTTTTTCGGAACTACAGCTGAAAATTCACCATTAAAGTACATACTTAGAAAAGAAAAACTTTCCAGCAAAGTTTTAAACATTGAGTGAATTATCTTGTGTCAATTTCTGAACAAGATTTTTTTTCTTTCCTTCTTTTTAAAATAGGTATATATTTCTTTGTTGATAGTTCATAACAATTTAGTTTCAGGAAAGTGATGGATAATTCAATGTCTAAGAAAGAAAAAGAGCATATGAACGTTAGCTTGTTGATCATGTTTCAGATATCAAGAGAGATTTGAACTCCTTGGCTGATAGTTCAGCAAGTCAATTTGAGAAAAGAGATGAATCTTAGAGAAGAGATGATGCTTATTGAGAAAGAAAATCAGCATATGAATGTTAGCTTATTCATCGTGTAGAGATATCAAGAGAAATTTTCAAAAACCTAACTTTAATGTTGCAAGCCTTCGTAGAAATAAATAAAGCACTGGGGAAGCACTGGAAGGAACAAATGTAGATAGATCAAAAATTCATGCTACCTATTTTAAATGTAGAACAGACTGTCCAAGGTATGATAAATTGCTAAAACTCATTGCAGCGAAAAATGTAAATTGAAAAATCATTTTTATCACTTGGCAGCCCGTTCTCAATAAATGTAATTACTTTCACTCAATGAGAATTCAGCATTTGTCAAAAACAAAACCTGGTTCATCCCTCAATAAAAAATACGAATGCAAAGTAGGAAATCACCCAAATGATTAACAAAGGAAAAGCACAGGCGTAGGTCTAGGTACTTACAGATTTTTACTCCTTACGACTAGAAAAGCTTCAGAATCTTGAAAATGAGGTTGAGAATATTTCAAAGTGTAAATTCAGTAGTAAAAGTTGACAAAACTTCAAGATATAACTCTCCGCAATAACTACCGGATACAATTTCCACAAAATATTAGCGAAGAAATATACCACCGAAAATTGTCACACTTGTTAAAATTGTAGATCTTCCCTTCAGCAAACTGAAGCGCGATTCACACAAAATTTTACCACTATTACAGTACACTGAGCTCCCTAGAATTGGGATATGGAATCAGAGAGATATTCACAGCAACAATGTTTGCACTGGCTCTTATCGGATAATCAACGCAGGCAAGATTGGCTTATAGCTTCCGCTGGCGGACAGCTATTTTGGCAACAGAGAAGGGAGGTGTTGGATGTCGGAGAGTGAAATACTACCTACTCTCAATTGAAAACATTTAAGTATAAGCCAGAGATTAGATTGAAATGGAATAAAAAATCAACCCAATCTTATGAGCAAGCAAAGGTGGCACAATGAAGTTGCAATCGGTAAATAGACATTCTTGTGTCTACATTATCAGTATTTTAGTGTGGCGGTAATTTACTCTGTGGGAAGATGCGTGGCAGGTAATTGATTGCTTTTCTTGGATTTAAGTTCTTTCCCTTAGTAGGGGGAAAATAAGTGAATTGCAAACGAACTTACAGGAGGAGAGGATATGAGCTCAGTGTGTAGGTAAAACTGACAATTTTCACTTAACTCTCGTCGCATTTCCGAAAGTATTTGACAAGCGTTATCACACAGAACTTTAGAATCAATCGTGCACCGCACAGAATCAAGAAAATATATCGAAAACCTCCAAAATTAAACGAAAAACGAACACACGTAATGAGCAATGACCAACAATGACAAGCAATTTACTAGATTCTAACCTCAATAAACAACGCTGAGTGGTGGCTGCGATCGCTCCCGAAAATGTTCAAGGCTGGCGGCAACTTTAAATTCACGCACTGAATAACATTGACGTAAAATATTATAATTTTCTGCGAATATACACGTAGCCGTCTCAATTTTAATCTGATGGTGACGCCATTTTCCGAAAACTGAATCTCACCTCACTGCCAACGGCCGTGGAAGCGGTTGGCTCCGATCCTGAAACCCGTAACTTACGCTCGGCTCCTAACCGGTCTTACGGCCATGAAGGCCGCGCGGGGTCCACGGGACACCGGCCGCTGGGTCCAGTACTAGCTGGCGCACAGCGCGTTAACGCCGGGATCACCAGTGTCCAGAGCAACCGGGTCACAGGGCCGTAGTTTTTTTTTTGAGTGTGACCACCAGAGTTCAGGCTCTCATTTACATGCACGTTCCCTTGTTTTTTCTGTTTTGAAAAGATAGGGGTTCGGCCAGTTCTCTGGTGCAGTCGGACGCTTCTCGACTTTGCCCTCGTCGCGCCCTAGTCGGAGCTCTCATTCCCTTGTCTCTTTCTTCCTATCCCGTGCACGCACGCTTACTGCTGCACACCCCTTTGCTCGCACGTCTCCTGCAGCATCCCTATCCTTGAACTCGCACGTATACTGCAGCACCCTGTCCCTGTGCTCGCACGTCTGATGCAGCGCATCTCCTCCTGTGCACGCACGACTAATGCTGCGCCTCCGCAGCCTTCACCTGTCCCTCAACGTCTTTCCCCCTGACATGAGGATTCAAGTTTAGTGATAGCCCTATGTATGTTTCGTGTATTTTTCCTGTGTAACGTGTACATACTTTGTTGAGAAATAAAGATTTGAACTTTAGGATTGAGATCTCCTGATGATGATCCATGTCGTGGGCTCGTAGCAGCAAATCGACTTTCTGAAGGAATTTTACAACTCTTGGTTTTAGTCACAGATCTTATTTTTCAGCTGGTCCCTCGCTCCCGCCCAGTGAGGCTTTCCGTATAAGGCTTGTAAGTTTGATAATGAATTAGATTTGATCTATGTGGAAAAGCTCATCAAGAAAATCCGACGTCAATCTTTTGAGGGTCAGTTCTGTCAGAATTTGTAGCTTAGACGATGAATCGCAAGCCACTTGTGTTCCTCGTTTGCTACTGGCACTCCTCAAAATGTTACTGTACAGCCCTAATTGTCAACAGCAGGCTGAAAATCATTCAAGGCAGGAGGTTTTGACTTTAGCTTAGCTAATTTTTTTCAATATGAAAAAAAAATGCTCCTACGAAATCGAACGCCTTGCGGCACATGAGTTCTACAGAAACTCCATTCCCTATTTATTTGTGATAAATGCTTCATTCTATAACGAGGCAGGGGGAATTAATTGACATTGTATTCAGACTTGGAATTGATAATTCTTACGATAGAGTTTTACAAATGTCTTCCGCCCTCAATCATCAAGCAGTCGAATATTTTTAAGAACAAGTTGTTGTGTGCTCTCCATACCTTCAGAAAGGAGTTTTTGTCACAAGTGCAGTGGATAACATAGACATCAATCCTTCTTCTGTTGTTTTCATGGTACAGCAATTTCTTTACATCAACATTATGATTATACTCAACCAAAAGTTGAGCAAAAAATCACACTTACGGATTGCCCGGTTTCAAAAAAGAGGCAAAAGAGATTCGGCTCCTTTGTGAAGTTTACGGCGTAAGCAGCCAAACTTATTCTGATCTAATGGACCACTTACGTAATAAAATCAAGGAACCGGAAGCCTTGAGGTTCATGAAGAAAAAAAAATGCTCCTACGAAATCGAACGCCTTGCGGCACATGAGTTCTACAGAAACTCCATTCCCTATTTATTTGTGATAAATGCTTCATTCTATAACGAGGCAGGGGGATTTAATTGACATTGTATTCAGACTTGGAATTGATAATTCTTACGATAGAGTTTTACAAATGTCTTCCGCCCTCAATCATCAAGCAGTCGAATATTTTTAAGAACAAGTTGTTATGTGCTCTCCATACCTTCAGAAAGGAGTTTTTGTCACAAGTGCAGTGGATAACATAGACATCAATCCTTCTTCTGTTGTTTTCATGGTACAGCAATTTCTTTACATCAACATTATGATTATACTCAACCAAAAATTGAGCAAAAAATCACACTTACGGATTGCCCGGTTTCAAAAAAGGTCCTATCCTGTGAAATATACCACAGTCTCCCCAGTGAAATATACCACAGTCTCCCCAGTGAAATATACCACAGTCTCCCCTGTAAAATATACCACAGTCTCCCCTCTTTTCATAAAAAAGAGGATACCAAATTTAAAAAAAAAACTGACCGCCTCTCTTCCGTCAGCTCAATTAAAGAGGGAAAAAGTTTCGAAACAACAAATAATTCGCCGAATAAAGTAGAAACCGAACTTTTAATGAACTCACAACCGCCGAAAATTGTTGCTTCGGGCTCATTTATATTCTACATTTTTGCTTGAAAATAACCCATCAGTTACGTACATGACAAAATGCGAGCTAATACCTATGTTTTCCGAGGTGGCACATACTCCGGCAATGATTGCTCATGCAATGAAAATCGCACGCCAGAAGGCACCGAATATTTGAACAAGGGCCAAATTCCTATTATGACATGTGGCGAACCACTTTTTGTCATTGCAAGGCATTGAAATGGCAATTTTCCGACAAATTTGGTGAGGATAAATTTGTTGTAACGTTGGGTGGTTTACACATTGAAAAGGCCATTCTGAATGTTCTTGGAGATCTTCTAGATGGCAGTGTTTTTTCAGAAGCGTTTTTTCAGAGCGTTTTTTCAGAAAATACTGGCTATCCGTTTTTCCTTTCAAACGCAATGTCTCAGCGCAGAAAGTAAGTTCCCAAGGGTGGGTCCACCCCATCTGATTTCAGTCAAGCGTATGTAAATGCTTCCGGACCACAGCAAGCTTATCAAGCAGGAGCACACTTCGTCCAACGAGGACAACAACAACGCTCTGGTGCCTCTCGAGAGTCCAACAACACCAACACCAACAAGGGCAATAGGTCAAGTCAAAGGCAAGAAGGCTTTCGATCCCAGCAAAATCAATACTTGCAGGAAGCGTTGAATCGTGATCTCACCAACAAATTGTTACCCGGTGTTAAGACCGGTGAAAATGCAGCTAGTCGTCTCGAATCTTACAATTCAAATAGAGCCGTCGTTTTAGCAATCACCACCCGACAAATGGGTTTTGGAGTAACGTGCATCTTTTCTGCACTTGCGCAGCTCCCCGCTAATAGTGGCTGGTGGGAGACTCTCGTCGAAGGCGGAATAACATCCGCCAGTCGTGCACAGTCTTTCATTCAAGTCCATCATATGAAAAGGACGAGGTTTGCACATCAAGTGAACCTGTGCGCTTTGTTTGTTTTGAAAAAAACAGGCATAATCGAATTGTGTTGTAGATTTTAGGAAAGACAATGAGAACGAAACTGATAAGCTTCTCTCATTTGAAGAATGGAACAAAAAACACTGCGAGTCAAGCTCTCAGTTTTTATTTTAAGTTTTGCAATTGAGCTGAAAGAGTGCCTCCTCAAATATCTGACGTCACTGCGGAGCTCTAACTTTGAACGCTACATAAAATCTAAAAAAAAATGCCTCGTGGATTTTAGTTTTAATCATTAAAGTTATGCTAGAGGATGGAGGATTCATTTGTGAGATATGGTGAATTTAAAGGGACTGCATCCCTCAATGTACGCCGAATTTTGAAACGGAAAATTCACAGCTATTATTTCCGGGAGAAAAATGCTAGAGGATGGAGGATTCATTTGTGAGATATGGTGAATTTAAAGGGACTGCATCCCTCAATGTACGCCGAATTTTGAAACGGAAAATTCACAGCTAGTATTTCCGGGAGAAAAATGCTAGAAGATGGCTACCGATTCATTTGCGAGATATGGTGAATTTAAAGGGATTGCATCCCTCAATGTACGCTGAATTTTTTAAACGGAAAATTCACAGCTAGTATTTCCGTGAGAAAATTTTCCGCTATGGCCTTAGATCAGGCCCATGAACAATGTAATTCCAGGATCAAAGGAGATGGAGTGCTTAAACACAAAGCCAGTAAACAGCAGGAAAAAAAAAGAAAAAAAGGTGATGGAGGCGCTGTCGGTTTGACAGAGAATCCCGACGAATTACGACGATGGATGGTTGCTGGACCAGAGATTTCAAGAGTTACCGTCAGTTGGGGTAACTTGGGACAGTTTTGAACTTTGAACTAAAATTTCTCCATTAAAACAAAACAAATAATAAATTGTTAAGGCTCTCATTTGTTGGTCTTAGTTAGTACTCTAAACCTACGCCATCTTTTTTTTTTTATTTTTTTTTAAAAAAAAATGTTGGTGTCCCAAGTTACCTGAATAGTTGGGGTAACTTGGGACACTAATGTATTTTCAGTGTTTGGCTCATGTTTAATAGTTATCATGTAACTTGGGACAAAAATTTAAGTTTTAAAAAATATATAAAGCCATTTGGCATGAAAAAAGTTACCGTCAGTTGGGGTAACTTGGGACTGCGGTCTAACTTGGGACAAATTGTCCCATTTTCGTAATCGTGATGTAGCAACCGTGCATTGTTTATATTTGGATTTCTGAGGCCTTAACCTCAAACACCCAAGCCAGGAGAGTCTGTGCGAGAATTTGAAATGGTAAGTGATTTTAAATTTTCAAATTTGTCGGAATACCTATTTTGGAGGAATTTTATGCTGTACACAAAGTCTATTGTATTCAGATGCCGGTCATTCACCTGGAACTGGGGGACCTGATATCATCTCATCCAAGTGCACCTCTTGAAGGCCCAAGCTTTTCTTTTTGGAAATTTTTAAATGAATTTGAAATTTTTAGGAAAATTTAATCTTTCAGAGCTGTCAGCAAACTTGGGACAATTTCCCATCGAACATGGGACGCCCATGAATGTCTGTTTATTGTACTTTTGAAGCTTTATTCCTTCAACAATATAACCTCTAAGTGCCATATAGTATTATTTATCGTTTATTCAAGTGATAACAAGTGAAATGGATAGAAATTGGTCGTTGCAGAGCTAAATTTGGGTAATTTGTTTTGGGTTTTCTATGATTTCTCCCCTGCTAATCAAATATGTACCTACTTACATAAGAATTGAACACGGTTATGAGACTCTTTCTGAGTTGGATGGTTACCAGGATTTTTCTAATGTTTTAGGTACTCTTCCATCTGTCTTAGTATCATGGCTCGTCTTCCAAAACGGCAAGTTGGTGGTAGGCCGTATCAAAATTATACGCAGCGGAATCTCAAGAAAGCTGTGTTGGCGGTCAGAAAGGGAATGAGTCTGAGGGATGCCAGTACGCAATACGAAGTGCCAACGTTTCCTAGAAAACAATTTTCTTCAGTGCCTACTTAATGCTCGTTTTGTTTATGTTTATTTTTTTATTTTTATAAATGTTTTTATTAAAATGCACATTATTTCTTGAATTTTCTCTCTTTTTGTACCTATGCAGGAGTTCAAAAAATATTTCAGATAGCTTTCCAGAAGCACCGACGAGGACTAAGATCATCACGAATCCTCGGCTGAATTTCAGTTGTTATTTTTCAAACACGTTCAAGCTTTAATGAAAACCATCGACGATGCCGGTAATCCATCGAGAACTTCAGAACTTGCAAAATAAACTGATAATCTCTGGTACCGGAATTGCAGAATTAGAAGCTTGCAAGACTACGGAAGGAGTGCATTTGAGAATTTCGTTGGAGTCAGACTGGTTGAAGGAACGAATTCAGTTTTTTCACCGCTGAAAAAACCTGATATTAATTTGTTCCGGCCAAAATCTAAAGTGAAAAATAAATCTCAACTGTCCATGAAAAGTATCAAAAGAGATGCAAGTTTATTTTCTAGGCTTTATATTGTGTGTCAGCACAGCAGAGAGGCTCCGATATACAGGGTCATTCAAAAGTCACGCACCACTGGCCATAACTTCAGTCCTAATTATGATATTGACTTGTGGTTTAAGACGTTTTTCCTCGTATTGTAAGGAAAATTTTTTAGGTACTTTCCAGTTCTTGATCCCCTCGGGGGGAGGGAGGGGGTGGGGGGCAACTCAAAAATTTCAAATGGCCAACCCCCTCATGCCCAGTGGTGCGTGACTTTTGAATAACCCTGTAGATGTGTTGACGCCCTTGCGTCTCGAAAAATATCGAATATCGATATAGCTCCGCCATCTATCGCCCTTTTTGGTAATTAGCGATTTTAGTTATCGAGTTCCCCTATAGATCGCGCATGCTTGTCAATTAGCACTTACTCATCTGTCACCCCTCCCCTTTCTCGATAATGGACTCATCCATTTTTTGCATGCCACTTACCGCGTTGCCAGCGCTCTCTTCGTGATGGTTCCTCCCCTCAAGAGGACCTGTTGAATTCTGTCTCGACCTGCGTCCCCGTTGGTTTCCTCCCTCAGTTTTTCTCTGGTGAAAATCGTGTCTTTTGTGTAAAGTTCTCGATTTATCTATCTTTCTTCGGTTCTCCATCCTTGGATTAACCTGGTAGTTCTTCCTAATCGTCGCATTGGTTGTATTCAGGTAGAATTCATGAATTATACCTCCCTCAAGGTCTGACTTGTCTAGGATTCTAATCTCCCTTAGGCCTACCTCGTGTTGCTAAGTTCAACCCTGTCGAATATAAGTGTATTTCCACCCCTTTTGTTCCCTAATTGCCCTGAATACCCTTCATTAGAGATCAAAGTGAACTATCCCTTTCCTTTACTCCCTTAAACCCTATCCTTAGTTTCCCTAATCCTCTGGAGACTTCAAGTTCAAGGTCATGCCTAGATCCCTCATGACCATGGAAGGCTAAAGTTTCAGCTATGACTTCATGAGCAAGTCTTGTCACCCAGGAATAATGGTTCGATGGTCTCTGCATACTAACACTCCATGATTCGGACGAGGACGTGTTTGGATCGGACAGTTCGACGGAATCAACGAGGGCGGAACGAATTTTAATGCGGCATCCTTACGACTTTTTATCACAAAACATTGGAAGGCAAAGGCGCTGTTCCCGCAGATACACACCGTCAGGTTTCCAGCAAGAAGAGTTCAGTGGCAGTTGCGGGTCTACGGATGGAGACAGCTCGCCCTCTTTACAGTCGAGTGAGGACGAGATTCAACAAATCTTGCCTGTCTTCCGTATGGACCACCCTCCTGCTGAAGTCCTCGAAAGCGTTTCAGTCCACCCTCCTCCTGAAGTCTGTGAAAGCGCACCGTCTTGTTCCACGCACATACCCCTTTATGACGTATGATGATTTATGTATTATGTGTTCCCACACCCCCGCCCCATTTCAGGTTTCTCTAAGTTCAATCTCTTAGGTCCTAAAGATACAGTCCACTAAATTTATCGGAATTCAGGCCCCCCAAAGATCGATTTTACCTTTCGATTTTATAGCGGCACAAAACAAGATGACTTTTTCAGTCGCGAGCACCAGCCGTACCCACCTTCACTCTCAGGTTTTGGGCAGATTCGCAAGAGAACCAAGTCAGACATTCGTCAGTGTTTAAAAAATGAATGCGACTTTGAATTTCCGAAAGAAATTCCGTCTGCCTCATGCGTTATACCAGATGGACCAGCGATTGTTCACTTACTTAGGTCTCTAGGGACTCCAGGACTTCCCATGATTATATTGAAACATTTTCTGACAAAATTGTTGATGAATGGCCCGATGCTGACCGTATTGATATCGTATGGGATGATTATCGAGATAATAGTTTGAAAGCAGGAACCAGAATGCTGAGAGGTGCAGGCATACGTCGGAAAGTATGCCTACACACCTGTTCCAAGAGACTGGAAAAACTTCCTGCGAAGCAACATAAATAGGAAAAGAGTCGTAATCGTTGATCTCAGAGAAAATTATTAGTAGAACTGGTAAGGAAATTATATCGACTGCAGGACCAACAATTCGTTGTAGTTCACACAATTGCTTACACCCAGGTCTCCAACCTTGCAACCACGAGGAGGCTGACACAAGATTGTTAATACATGCAAAAGCAGCTAGTCAAGCTGGGCATAAATCAGTGATCATCAGGACTGTAGACACAGATGTGATTCAGTTGCAAATTAGCAACGAACATGAAATATATTTTAAACAACTGAGAGAAAAAAATATTTGTCATTGGCTCTTCTGTTTTCACTGGTGACAGCGAAGTCAAGACAAAATGTGTACCCCACCGTGTGTGTAATTTTGAAAATTTATCGAACAACACCGGTTACAAATGGCACCGCACACTGGAAAAAAAATACATTGGATCTAGAGTCTCGACTCTTGAAAACATTGACAAGAAAAAGGACTCTTGATTCAATCAGATTTAAGCTTCAATCAAAAGAAAATCCGCTCAAATTGAGAGGCTTGGTTCTTGATTTAAGCTTACATCTGATTGAACCAAGAGTATTTTTTCTTGTCGATGTTTTTAAGAGTCTGGACTCTGGATCCAATGTGTTTTTTTTTTCCTTCCAGTGCAGAAACGGCATTTTTCTACATTAAGTCGTGTGAAAAATCACCTGCGTTCAACAGAGAAGTAGGTAATGATGTGTCAATTCTTCACATTGAAAATGATTCAACCGTCAAGCTCAATTACGAGGACGTAATCGAGAAATTCGCGGGGGGAAAAATTCGACGGATGCGGCTTGTATATGCATGAAGCATCATGCTCGTATCACACGAGTAAGTAATTAACCAAGTTCTTATGCTGTTTCATTTTTTGGATAAAGAGTCACAATTATCTTTATTCAGTCGTTAGTCAGTAGGCGAGGCCCCCTGGTGGCCACAAAAGGCGTTCCCGGAACGGCTAGCATGTGCCATATCTGTACCTCCTGAAAGCGAAAAGGTGCCTGATTGCTTTCTAGACATTTCAAGACACCAGGAAAACCACAAGTCACGGCGACCCCACTGATTTAATTAAATCACATTATGTGAAATTGCATGCTTCCCGACCCACTGCTAAATAAGGCCACCGAAATTTTTCCCCACACGAAAGCGATGTACCGGAAATCTCTACAGCGGCTTCTTCATTTTTCCGAAAAGCAGGTGAACCAGGCACATTTTGGCTCTAAAATACTGACAAAAAAAAGGACTAGATGTTTCATACATTTTTCAACGGGTTTTTGGGAGTTTGTCATCGAGTATAATATTAGGTTGGCCATATTTCTGTTGCGCGACAAAAATATAGGTGACGAGGATTGTTATCATTATTCGAGGATTTGTTTGCAGGGCTCCAGGTCACTGAAGCCCGATTGCAGGAGAAGAAGCTTGATCAAAAGATCCAAAAGCTCGAGGAAGAAAAGGAGTCCCTTGAACTGATGGTCAGTGAGCTGACTGAAAAGATTAAAAAGCTGGAAGGACAGAACATATCCTTAGATGAGACGGACTTTTCATTTTCCTTGTTTGTGAGTGCGGGTGATGCGAGTTCCACGGCACTCCTGCCGGATCGGGACGCCTTTACCTGGAAAGCTACCTGGTGTGCCAAATTATCGAATTTCATTCCAAAAAAATGCCGGGCACAAAACCACCTCCAAGGTCGTCTTTTCCGCCGACATACGAAAAATGTTCCTCCAGATTGATCTACACCCCGATGACCGGAAGTATCAACTGATTTTATGGCGGGAAAGTCCGGAAATGGAGCTGTGTACGTATTCGCTTAACACGGTGTCCTTTGGGATATGCTGCTCTCCTTTCCTAGCCATTCGCACGATCCTGCAATTGGTAAAAGACCACGGGCCAAAAAAAAAATATTTGTCATAGGCCCTTTTGTTGTCACTGGTGATCGCGAAGTCATGACAAAATGTGTAACCTACCCTGTGTGTAATTTTGAAAAACACAACACCGGTTACAAATGGCAGCGCAGAAACTGTATTTCTCTACTTTACGTCGTGTGAAAAATCACCTACATTCAACAGAGAAGTAATGATGTGTCAATTCTTCACATTGAAAATGATTCAACCGTCAAGCTCAATTACGAGGACGTAATCGAGAAATTCGCAGGGGGAAAAATTCGACGGATGCGGCGTGCATGTGCATCAAGTATCATGCTCGTATCATACGATTAAGTAATTAGTCAAGTTCTTATGCTGTTTCATTAATTGGATCAAGAGTCACACTTCTCTTTATTCATTCGTTTGTCAGTGGGCGAAGCCCCCTGATAGCCACAAAAGGCGTGCCCGGAACGGCTACTATGTCATATCTGTAGCTCCTGAAAGCGAAAAGGTGCCTAATTCCTTTCTAGACATTTCAAGACAGCAGGAAAACCACAGTCACGGCGACCCCATTGATTTGAAGTAATTCATATTTTGTGAAATTTCATGCCTCCCGACCTAGTGCTACATAAGGGCACCGAAATTTTTCCCCACACGAAAGCGATACCTGAAATCTCCACAGCGCCTTCTTCATTTTTCCGAAAAACTGAGTCAGGCAAATTTTGGCTCTAAAGTACAGAGA